TGGGTCTGTTTTGGTTTACTAAGGACTGAGGATTTTGTCATTAATTCTGCTGAGACAATGTTGTTCAATGTTGATTTTGTTTTTCCATTGTATGCTATATTTACTTCTAGTTAAAATTGTATTTCTGTTAATGTTATAATACCGTGGACTGACATACTTTTAATAGCCCAAAATTAAGCTTCTGAAGAGAGGGAAAATCGTCCTTGAACCTACAGCAAATATAATTGAAGAGAAAAAAATTAGCATCTACTCCATTGAATTTTTACAAATGAGATGATACATGTAAGAACTGTTACATGTACATGTACTATGTTCTTTGACTAGTTGCACTGTATTGCAAAAAGGGTACTATGGTCCTTGGTTCTCGTTGCAAGAAAATATGATTCTTTTCAGTTCATGGTTACTATATGTACCTACCATGCAAGAAAGTCTGCAACATCACTAGACTGCCATTTATTGATTGATTTATTTACAAATTGAAGAGGAAGATAAGATAAGCAAAATGCCTGGAATTAAACAAAACATTTTGATTTTGAATGAAATAAATCATCTTACTTTAACTTAGTAGTGTATTATAATTGTGTCAAGATATATTTTTGTGATAAAGCTAATTGAATTAATTAAAATATATGCATTTACCTGGCATACATATATTATGAGAAATAAATAATTAAAGTTAATTAATTATAATTATTATTCAATATTCAGCATGTTTATAAGGCATTACCTGGAAACATGGTTGGTTGCAAACTGCATTTCTGTGGAACCCGACTGAGATCAACAATAGAAGATGTACCTATGCACGAACAATTTTTGTTCATTAAAAATTAAATTCTTGAGGAGTGGCCTTCTTTAGGAGATGGGGATGGGGGGAGGTGATGGCAATTGAAATGAAGAACACATTTGGAATTTACCTTATGTTTTTCTAACTGAATTTCTTTTTGAAACTTGTTCATTGCTTTTTGGATTTTAGTCATTAAATCTTCTTGAACCCTGTAGAGAAATATTTAGGTCATAAATAAAAAAGATTTTATCTTTGTAAAACACAATGCACATTTTATTAAGCATGACAGTCAAAATGTTGCGCACACTACATACCTTTTTCGCTTTTTCCCCTTCATACCAGGAATTTCAATGCTAATCTCAACATTTTTGTCTTCAGATTTTGGTGTTGCTGATGATGGACATAATGCTTGGCTGTTGCCATGTTGACCTTCTGCCTCTAAAAATACACAATTTGAAACTTAGTGATCATAGAATTTGGTGCCTTGGATCATGTAGCAAGTACAGGTAACAATGTGCCATTTAAATCTGGAAAATGCCATCACAAAGTGGAAATTGAACTTGTTTACTTAAGGCTTAGATATCATATCCAAATTCTAGATATCATATCCTGTGATTAGCCAATCACAAACAAGATTAGTTGCATGTCTTGAGACTAAGATATCATATCCTTCATTGTCCAATCACAAGCAGTCTATTTTTAGAAGTAGATATGATATCCTATTTTAACCAATAGTCAT